TGGCTTGCAATATCTTCATCAACAGAATGCCATTTAAAATGTGAATTTAGAGGCAGTGAAAAAAAACAACTATTAACAACAAAAACAACTATTAACCACAAAAACAACATCCGCAAGACTGAAATACTGCTCAGTGTTTTCACGATTTGAATCATTCTGAAAGATGGTATCCATCATCACTATTTTACAGAGCTTTCTGCATTTTGACTATTCTCCTGGTTTGTCATAACCCTGTGCTAGTAAGAATTTACCCGGTGGGAGGAACGCAGCAGGAAAATGCTGCTGAGCAATGCAGAATCAAGCTCTCCTGGGATGTTGTAATCGCTTGCTTTTGGGTATAAGTGGAACCCTAGAGAAATGCATTTCTGCGTCCGATCCGGAGGCGTCCGGCCTTCTCGCTGACCGCTCTCCCGGTGTTTGTGTTTCCCCCCTGCAGGATGGATGGTCACAGTATCACTTCGTAGCCTCATCGTCCACGATAGAACGGGATCGGCAAAGGCCGTACTCGTCCTCCCGCACGCCCTCCATCTCGCCGGTGCGCATGTCTCCCAACAACCGCTCAGGTAAGACGGAGCGACCCGCCGGCACCGCGGCACCAGGGATCCCTCATCCTCCGTCATTAGGCAAGGCCGCTAGCGTGCACATCCGCTATTAACGTTTAATTATCAATTAGTTGTTAATTATTATTGTTTACCTTGTTGTTCTTACCTGGGGTGTCTATTTAAGGCAGGATTGATTTATTCTAGAAAGTTAAAAGATCCATGTTATTTTTCATCAGTTTTTCTTCTGTTATATATATGTGTAGGTGTATGTGTGTGTAAGTGTCCATACACACAGACGTATAAATATAAAGAAAGATTGACTTCAGGTCCTCATCTACTATTGATCCCATAGTAACTCTCATTAACTGTTTATGATCCATGCAGTGACTTTTTATGCAATTATCTCAGTTTACACCATAGTGTTAATTACATTCTTCTCTTCAAAAATTTGGGCCTTTTGCCCTCTCTTTATTCCAAGGGAAAATATACCTTGGTTAGATACAGCTGTTCTCAGTGAAAGTCAAGGTTTTTTACATTAAACACAGCAAAATAGCCAGCCTCTTGATGTGCTTTTCACTACTTTCTCTGCCAAGTGCTGTCAGTCCATAGATGTGTCAGGAGTTTAGGGGTAAGGTAGGCCAAACTGATGCTTACCAGCAGCATCACACAATCATGGCATTTGTAAGAAAATAGCTTGGGTCATCATCTGGAAGCTGCATCTTACTCTTGAGCCAGCACTGAGGATTTTTGAAAATGTGACCATAAGTTTAGCCCAGTGAGAGCTGCTGCAGCACACGCTGTTTATTTTTCAAAAATTGTTGGTTAAACAAGTCCTTGTTTTTGTTTTTTTTTTTAATCTCAACTTGACTGTTTGTGCAAGGCATTTGAAATGGCTGCATGTGAGATGTTGGTTCTAAATTTGCTCTATTGCTTGAAGAGCCCACTTAAAGAGATGGCTAATGAAATCTTACTGCCATTACCAGTTATCAGAAGATTGGAAAAGGACAAACACAGGGGGACTGTCTGTGAAAGTGGAGGAGCCCATATATTGACAGCCTCAGCTTAACTTTAGTTTCTAGAAGTTTATGGAACAAATACAATCACTTCAAAGGTAATAGGGGCACAAGATACTACTTGCCTTGCTGGAATACCCACTTCTACATAGTACTGTAAGCTACGGTCATTCTGGTAGTAAGCATATCAAATCCAAATAGTGGTTCAGCAAAATATGTTCTTGTAAAATCAATCTGCATTCATGCTACAACATAGGTATAGGACCATGTGGACGTGAACAGTCAGTGAATTAAAGCTACTCTAATGAGCAACACTTGACACTATTTGATGCAACATTTTTATAGGCAAGCTTGAGAAACACAATCCACAAAAAGATATGTAGGGTGAATGTGAATCTGTCTGGAAAATCGTTGTCAAAGAATAGGTATTGTTCGTTGCCAAAATGAAAGGATGTTTTGCTTAGGAGTTTGCAATGGGTGCTGCACTCTTCAGTCTTTTCATCAATGGCCCATATAATGAAGAAAGAAGGACATTATCAGAATTCAGAATGATCCTGAGAAATTGGAGATTTCTATCCAAATTGGGGGGGGGGAATCCTATTTTTTTTAATTAATAAAGTATACAGACAACAGTTGACTAGATAAAAGCTGTGCAGAAATGTTCTGGGGATTTTTGTTAACCGCAAACGTGAATCAAGAGATGGAGAAATCAGTATATGAGGATGAGTGAATGGACTGTCATTGTTTAACTTGGAGAGACCCGAGATGAGGGCTGTGAGAAGAGGCACATATTAAGTATTGAAGGATGTATCTGACAATTGCAAAGAGGAGGGGTATAATCTCTCTCTATTTTCATAACAGACAAATGGAAATAATCAGCAGCAAGAAATTAGGTGAGACATTGGAAACATTTCCTAGGAGTAGGGATGCGAAGCAATAGAGTGCTTGGAGCAGTTACATGGTCTCTCTCATTAGAGATCTTTAGGCCTAGATGAAAATCTATCATGAATTATCTTGGTAAACTGGATCCTATCTTGGGGTAAAATATCGAAGAAGGTGAACATATGATGTCCCATCCATCCCTATGATTTGGTGATAAGAGAGATGGAGATAGAGAGAGATCTCTTCTTTTTTGTGTCCTTTTAGAATAAAAAGCAGAAAGCTTTAGAAGCCTTTCAGTCTAATGACAACTAATGACTTTATGTCTGCTTCCAATAAAAACCCTGCAAGAGGCCACATCTGGCTTTTAACACGTGCCAGAAAGCAATTGTTCTGTGGGACAAGAGATATAATTCCCATGGTGAAGAGAAGGAGATGTTTTCTCTTTATCAGTCAGTGTGTACAAAACACCAGAGTGTTTGGCATCACTAGAGCATGCGAAACGAAGTGTATCCATGTGTTAGCAACCTTCTCAAGGTTTCATTTTGTTTTGTCTCCTCTTAGAGTCATGTACCCACTAGCCAATTTGGTAACGTCATGTTCCTTTACATCTGCTGGATTAGCAGCTTCAGAATTATGCCATTATTGATGAGCAAATTCAAAGCAATCCCCAATTTTCACAGCTTCATAAGAGAAGTCCCACATTTGCTTTGTAAATTCAGAAGCCAGAGCCAACAGAACCTGTCTGAGCAGAATGCATCTTCAGCACAAGTGCTTCCTGCGCCTTATATAAAAAATCTACCATGGTTTAGAGACACTGAGAGACATAACTGCTGATTAAGCTTAAGAAAACTTATCTTATTTTTTGCCTCCTTTTTTTTTTTTTTGGAACAAAGGCACAAAATGGATCGTTCACAAATATTAGTGTTCTTACTATCACTGACTGGGAACGCTTGGAAATGACACTGGGGAGCAAAGTCCTGTTCTTAAAACTTTGGTTGCAATATAAAGCAGTATAAAAATGGAAAGGCGATTCGTGTTTGAAGAGATGTGAAAGTGCTGCTGTTCACAGCTAGAGTAGTGCTATAATGACAGCACATCAGCTAACCTTGGGGAAAGGAAATGTTGATGCATTGAGCAATTACCAAACCCTGTGATGGAAAGAGGGCTCAAAAACAGTGTTACAAATGGAAAGGTAATAATTAGATATTTCCCCAAACCTTTACTGAAATGCATTTTCAGCATTAACTCTTACCTTAGAGAGTCCTCTTAACATATCAAATACCTGAGTGGAGGCATGGGAGAGTATGGACATAAGCATGAGTGCTTTAGTTTGATATTTTTGTACTTGTCTACATTCGCTAGGAACTGTGGCTCTCTGCCCTCACCTTGTACTCTGTCCTCTGGCCCAGCTTTTGCTCATGATCACCCATCTACATCAGCTGGATTACTAAAACTGCTGCGTCATCTCGTGGAAAAAAAGAGTTGGATGTACATAGGCTTATTTCAGAGGTAGTTGTACATTTACATGTGGGGGCAAAATTGCTCAGATATTCAGTAAAATTATCAGGGCCATGTTATCAGTAATAGGCCCATAATTCTCTGAACCTTTCTTTTTGAAAATGCTTAAAATATTTGCCTTTTGCCAAATTTCTGGAACTTCAAAATTAGCAAAAACTAACGGGTCTGAAATTGCTTAGCAAGATCCTTATGTAGGAGAATGGGAGAGTTAACTTGCTCACAGATACTCTCTTCTTGCCTGGGAGAATTACCATTGCTGTTAATTGTTCTATCCATCTGATAACTTTTGTACTTTTAATGAAGAATGAAACAAAACAGGTATTAAGCATTCAGATACATTTTATTATTAATTCTTCAGGTTCATGAAGTAGTGGGCCAGCTGTATCTTCATTCTTATTATTGTTACTGCGTTTATAGAGTTTTTAACCCTTTGAATGAAATCTAACTTTAACTATCCAAGTCTGAATTGGATAACTCTACACTCCCTCTGTAGGCAAGAGAGGAAGAAAAGTCTAGAGGGCAATCAAGGTTGTTTAATGTAGATACTTAACTCATGAGACAAATCATCATCTGGAAGTACCTCTTTCTTTCCACTGTATATAAAGGGGCCCTAGATGAGTAGCCCCAATTAACAGATTTAATTTATATGCGGAAGTGAGGACAGATGGACTTATATGTCTCTTGCTAGTGTCTTTGACCGCTATGTCCTTGATGTTGTCACTAAGTACCCATGGTATTCTTGTATATACATCCTAGGTATTTCCTGATCTATTTTTCACATTTTGGCATGACTCCTCGAGTTTGGAGTTACGCACTTGCTGTGATTGAACCAAACTGGTCTCTACACGTCTCGTCTATTGCCCCCATGCCCTATGTTTGTGTCCTTAGTAACTGTTCCTTAAAAACATGGAAAAATCTCTCATGAACTCAATTTTTAATAAAATTTGTTATCCCAGCAGGGAATGTGTATCTTCCAGCACCTAAGTCTTTTGAAGTCAGTTTACCTGAAACCCATTTTTCCGCTCCTTGTCTTTCCCTTTCTGTCTAACGATCATGGCTGCTATGTTTTCATGGGCAGTGCCGGTGGTCAGACACCTTTTTCAGTGCATGTTGCACCAGAGGAGGTTCAGGTTGGATACTAGGAAACAATTCTACATGGGAAGAGTGGTGAAGCACTGGAACAGGCTGTCCAGGGAAGTAGTGAAGTTCCCGTCCCTAGCAGTGCTCAAGAAACATGTGGATGAGGCACTTACTTAGGGACACGGTTTAGCAGGCAGGGTGGCGATGGGTTTACGGTTGGAATTGATCTGGAAGGTCTTTTCTAACCATAATGACTCTATGATTCTATGGCAGTGAAATACAAAACCAATTCTCCTAGTCATCTTGAACTTTCTCCCCCTTTTACCCATACTAGTTCTAGTGAGTCTTTTCTTACCTGAAGCCAGATCTCAGAGTCAGTTGTGGAACCACAGTGCAGGCCAACTCTTCCTCCTGTTCCATGACCCCTCTTCTTTCTTCTTGCAGCTCTCACTGCCTTCAGATATCTTAGCTGTTTCAGTTGCAGCTGTTCATCTATAGATAGTTATAGAGAATTAAAGAAAGAAGAGAAATTATTAAGTTATCTTTAGGGGTTAGGTATTCTTTCTTACATATTTTCTATGAAAAAATGCCTTTCCTTTTTTTCCCTTCCTCCTTATGGGAACCTTTTTTCCTTGGTTTGTGTATTTCAACAGAGAAGGAAGGAGACCATTTGTAAGCGTTTTTCTACTCAGTTGGTATTTAAGGGTCTTTTCCACAGAAATAAATTGACCATTTTGAGAAAAATATGAAAGTGCCTTTATGAAAGTAATGACAAGTTAAAGAAATTAATAAGCTAAAGGGAAAAAAAATGGTTACTATTCTACTGTTTCATAATGATCCTCTTAGGTGTTGCATGTAAATCAAAAAAAAAGAGAAAGAATGCTGTTTGGAGTTGGTTAGCCAATGAATACATTTGTTCTGTATGTGAAACAACAGCGCTTTCTCTTCCATTCTGTGGCAGTGTTTCTTCAAACAGCTTAACATTAGTATGCTAACAAATACAAACTTTATTAAAATGTTTACTCTAGAGCTAAGCACTACATTCAGTGATATGTGGGGAGAAAAATAAACCCATTTTTATGATCTAGCAAGTGCCCCTGCCTCACCTCGGGAAATGATCAGCCTAAAAGAAAGAAAAACAGACTATGAATCAACTGGAACAAACGCGACTTACCATGGAACTAAGGGAGAACACACTTCTAGGAAAGACACCATGACAGGTAAGATTACGCTTATGCAGCATGTGTAAAAATCAACTGTCATAGACACATTTTGTAGGCTTGGCAGAGTATGCAGTAGCAGAGAAAAGAGTCAACCTGCCTTGGCAGGTTGCAAAGTTCTAGTGTTCTCAAGAAACACAAGTAATACTGGCCTTGGTAAATACAGTGCTGTATGAAGTCTGTTGTGAAGACCATAACTCTCCACAGAGAAAAAGTTCTTAAAGCAGGTTTTGCTACTTTTAATTAGAAGTAATTTTCCTTTTTCACAGAGGTGGGTGAAACCTCCTTGTGCTAACTAGCTTTGTTTCTGTAAGCATAAAAATAGTAGGGATGTGCGGCAATCCCTAACATCTCTCTTTCGCAGGGAATGGCTTTCTAGGACCAGTTAGCGTATTTTGCATGTTTCAGTAATTTCTAGGAAAATCAGTAGCAGTTTGTACAGTCTTTCCTTGATACTTTTTTTTTTTTTTCCTCCAGGTTGATTGAAATGCAGTGATTTTCTCTGTGCCTATTATGGCGTCTATTGCAGGTTTCATGAAGGCTTCTATCTCCTAGTGAGCTCATTTACCCATCAGAATGTCAGTAATTATGAATTCTTGAGTGCTTTGCCTAATAATGCTCCTCTTCATTAATTGTTTTACAAAACATGTGTTGGTCTCCATCACTGTCGCACAGGCTTGTGTAACCTGTGGTGAGCGTTTTGTTGTGTTTATGCAGTGCTGAGCACCATGGTGTCTTCTCTTCCAAGTGCTACCTCAGTGCAAGTAATCAATCACAGCGAGGAGCCCTCCTGCCTGCTGGGTTTGCCAGAGAGGGTTGTCTTCTTGTTCCTCACCTCATTAGGGATGCCACTAGCAGGCCCAGTCAGTGTCAAGCCATAGTGTCTGCATTCAAGATACGACATGACTCATATAGCATTTATTGTGCTATATTTTGCAATTGAAATCTAAAGGCCAGCGTTTGAACATACATGGAATGCAATACAGAATCCTAATTAGCATGGAAGTGGGAATCTGAAGAAGAGGAATGACAATCAATCAAGAGCATTTGGAAAACACAAAAGTGATGAGTGTCCTGAATGGCATCTGCAGGATACAGTGTGTGATTACAGGAAACAGGAAGCCATTTGTTCAGTCAAGGTACTGTACTTAATGTATCTGTAATATTTGCAGTGTTTGATATTCAGCATGCAGAATGGTTCTCTAAAACACTTCCAAGGTCGTGACGTACATGACTGTGAAGGACAGGATTGCATTTTTTCCCAACTTTGAGTATCCGTTAAGAGGGCCTCTCAGGAGTAAGAGCAGCAGGCTGAAAAGACAGAAAGCATAGAGTGCTTCCATAGAGTTCTAGCTGTAGCTGCAAATTTAAACAAGCAGATTACATTAGAAGGATCACAAAAGAAGAAAAAGGAAAAAAGGGATATTTCTGTGGATTCCTTACAGATAGTGACATCTTCCTTCTTGTTTCTCGCCACACAAAGAAAAATCATATTTTTTTTCCCCTGTCCCTTTTCATTCTGCCTTTTACTGTAGTATTTTTGCTCTCGCATTCCTGTGTCACTTACACATCCTTTCTCTTTCTAGCTAATTTTAGGAGCACAAGGCTTGTACTTCACCAGCAGCCTTTGCTCTGCTGTGATTTTTGCTTCCTCTTTTCCTTCTGTTTTGTCTTTTGTATTACTAATCTTTTGAGTGGGCTCTTAAAAAGGAAGCTATCAGCATCATGCTCAGTTATTGACCAATTTCCAGCTACTGATCTCAGTGACAGAAATCAAAATGTCAATATGATAAGTTTTATATTATTTCACTATCTTACATAGCCACTGTACAAATTAATATGGAATTAACACATTATTCTCTCTCTTTCAGATCACCAAGCTCTGAGCTCAAACTAAGCACCATTTTAAGAACAAAAGAAAATTGCTGTTAGGAAGAGTGAAAAAGTTTTGCTAATCAACATTCAACATGTAATTTGTAATAACATATCTGTAGTTAAATAACCAATATTTCATTAAAGAACAATATAAAATTCAGTATTTGTGATTTTAATTGTGATTTTTGCTATACTCAAATAGTCTAATATAAATTTGTGTAACAAGTCGATTGCACTACCTGTATCTCGTTTTGTGAATCAAATAATGCATTGCAGCTAATGTAGCCCCAGGCCCTATGGGACATAGATAAATGTTTTTTCAAGTTCCACCTGGCGTGTAAGTATTTTGAGCTGCTCTTGTGTTTTGTACCAAGCTGATGTATTGCAGGCGGCTTGCTTTGACTTATGGATTTACACAGAATGTGGAGCTATAGCTGTAGTCCCCATTTATTTACAGCTGTCTCCGTGCTTGTCTCCAAAGCTCTTCTCCATTTATAGATCAGCAATTTTATGACCTGTTGGCTGTGGCTGAAATGAGGGGAGTTTTGATGGATTTTCGAAGTAGAAATGTTGGCTTCTTGCCGTTGTGGGGAGCTGTCAGGAAACCTTTGGGAAAAATGGACACTATATGAAGTAAACAGTTTGGCTCAAAATGATAACTTATATTGATTTCACAAGGATGACTTAAGAAATACAGGAACAGTATCAAAGTTCTCATTGCCCTGTTCTCTTCACAGGTTTATGATACCTTGTACATTTACAATCCATCTTCACACTGGAAAATAATAACCAATAATAAAATTTTATCACCCAAAGTATATTTTTAAGACAAAACCTATTACATTCTTTAAAAAAAGTGCAAGAACTATCAATGAGTGTGATAGTGTTATTTATGCCATGGTGTTTTCCTTCAGAACAGGGAAGATAAGCTTGATGTGTACTATCATGGGATTCCTACTCTAAAGTTTCTTTTGCTTTTGGAGTTCCCTTGCTGAACTGATACACCCATCACAGTCTGTGTGTATCACCTCTTCCGCCAGCAGTAACACCTTCTGATGATTTTCTTTTGGTTAACAATAGTCAAAATTAATCATCTACACTTCTATTATCTAAGCTTACTTGTAAGTTCCTGCACGCTCTGGACACAGTCAATCAACAAAAGCTACCAGTGCTCTGACCACTTAACTTGCCATTACTTTAAGAAGCCGTAATGCAAAGTAATCTTTTCCTCTGCCCTTATTTTATCTTTCACCATGCAAGAAGCTGGCAATGCTAAGACAGGTAGTAGTCACTGTTAGCTTATACTTCTGAAGTACAAAATTATTTTCCTTTACTGCCTTGAACCAAATTTTAGAAAAGAAGTCCCCATGTTTATTATAGCAGAAAAAAAGCAGGACACGTACACGAGAATGACTGTATCTGTCTGATTTGTTTTTTCTTTCTTAATATCAGTCTGTGTTTGCACCTTACTGTTTCCAAGTGACTGTGTATTAAGAATGAGCACTTCTAGGACCTGAAACTTGAATTTTAAACCCAAGTAAGGGGCTTGGGATGTGTAAGAGAATTTAGACCAGTGATGTCTTTGTGACAGTAACCACTACGTGACATAATTTTAAAGGCTGCCATAAGCTTTGCGAAAGACTGCTGTGGGAAATACTGCAGTTTTAATGATACGTACTAATTTTAGCACCTTTTCAATTTTACCTCTTCAGCATTATCTTGCACTTACGCATAAAGACTACATGAAATACACAGGTTCATGCACTCGCTCATCAGCTTTGGGATCATTTCGTTTGCTGCGGCAGTTCTTACATTTCTGTAAGGCAGCGTGGCTGGTGGGAGGCCTCCAGCTCTTGCAGTCGCTGTACTTTTCCTTCTCTTGCTGTGTTTAAGAAAACAATTCCACAGCCCTGCTTTTCTATCCCTTTGACAATTTTACTGTGATGGAACCAACAATGTAACAGCAAGGAGCAGACAGTTCCACAGATAGCCACACATCTGTCCATTCATCTGGCTCGTCTCCTCTCTTCCATTACGTTTGTGCCTGGCCTTTGGAGACCAGACCTGCTCACTGAAGCACTGCAGAGTTCAGCAGTTCCCACGTGTGCCTCATGTCCACATGCAGGTATCGGAGTACTGACGAGCTCTCAGCTTGTCTAGGCCAAGATGCCTTGTTCGGGAACTCATGGCAGTCATTTCTAAGTGTTTGATGGGTCATTGCTTTTTTTAAAAAAGTTACTCCTGTTTGCATTTTTAAGTAAGCGGTGTGTTTGCCTCCGGGAGGAACATATAAATTAGCTCGTGTCCAGTCTGCTTCACAGAATCTTCAGATGTTGCACCTTAGATCCCTCTTCTTATTATTGTCTTTTTAAATATCCATGAAAAGTATTGTGCTGTTTGGTCTGAATACTTTCATTCATGGCTGATTTAAAACTCATGCATGAAGCTTGAATGCCTGCTCATTTTGCGATTCATATACATCCAAAATAATAGTTGTAGGAAGTTACTCCCCTGTTTATTAGAGGCCAACACATTGAAAACACTGACTGTCACCTTCATTTTGTTCAAGTTGCACATCACAAAGTGGGGACCCGAAACACAATCTCTGAATCTTTAGTTCTTGAGAAGAAGGATCTGTGTAAGCTAGCCTCTTCTAGTGCTTTTTGTGGTGAGCAAAAACTCTCAGAAAAACAGTATAAAAATAGTACCAAGGAAAGATCTGGCATTGACACCACAGAGCCACACCAGCAGCAGAAGCACCGTGAATGACAATGCTGTTGTGGCATCATCTAGTATCACAGACTGGCATCTGGAAGGAAAATTCAAACTCTAAAGCAGCAGGTCCAGAGGTGGAACTCTTAAAAAAAAAAAAAAAAAAAAAAAAAAAAAAAAAAAAGAAAGGAAAGGAAAGAGAGGAAGAATGAAAGAAAGAACAAACAGTCAAACCTTGGACATCACTGGAGCTACAATAAATTGTAGCTTGAACTGAGAACCCTCTGCAGAGTCACTCTTCTGCATTATCATCTATGGCCAAAGCCAGTGTGCTCAGGAACCCATGACTTCCATCTGCTGCTGGCATTTGGCAGAACTGACAGTGCCTGCCATTGAGAGGAACCAACCATTTTCTGATACTGGAGTTCATTTTCCCCTCACATTCAAAGGAAGAACCCCACCACGCTCCTTGGAGATCTCCAGAGTACTGCTGTATTTCTTCTTCCAGCTGATACAGCTCATCACCCACCGTATAAACCTTGTCTTTATCCTGTTTCAGTTGGAGATCTTTACATTGTTACACACTGGAGATCTTTAAGTGTACTATCTGAGATCTGTAAAAACACCAACATGGATCAGTGCACCAAACTTTGTCAAAAATCACATCCTCAGCCTGGTACCCGCAGCAGGTGTGAAGATCAAAATTGGAAAATCCCAGTCAACCTTGGCTGAAGACCTTGCCATGACTTGTCAGTAGAAGGTGTGATAGCTGAAGAAAGAAGCATGAACACGTTGTACTTGCTGGGATCCGTGCAAGCAGGCACTCAAAGGAAGAAAGAGTAGTTACCTTTCCTTCAGTAACTTCACAATGATGTGATTACCATGGGTCCCATACCCGGCTTTCACCTCTGTTGCTCAGTCACGCTCAAAGGTGCTCGGCTCTGAAGGTACTAAAAGGAGCTCTTGGTACCTCCAGTTCTTGCACCACTTCACAGAACCTGCAGAAGAAGCTGCACAAGTGACTTGTTTTCATTCCAGGGATATTTCTGATTTAGTAATAGTCACAAACTACTCAAAATTTCAAAAGATTGCTTGGAAGCACATGCTTTTATAAGTGGAATAATAATGGCAGCCTAATAATGACTGTGACATCTGTAGAGTTAATAACTCATGCCCAGTAGGAATGCACGGCAGCTACGCAAAATATATCCCTTATATTCTTGCAAGTATGAGAAGTGCATACAGTGTTTCTAATTGCATGGGCAAACTACACTTTAGCTAGATAACCACAGCAAAGTGATCAGTGAAATTGTGGAGAAATCTTTGTCCTTGTATGTGTTCTCATGGGGAAAAAAAAAAAATTTGCGTAGCGCCTTGTTTCTGAAAGCACTTGTTTTTCAAATTTGCAAACTCATAATTCAGTTTTATTAGTGTATTTTATCAGTAGGCCATCTGAGGAGAACATGACAGCTGTTTGAAGATGGGAGACTATCTCGTCCAGATCACTTCAGTGTAACCACATGCTGCTTTTTTGCATAACTCATCTTTCAGTTATATTTAATCACTTTTCACATCAATATTTCACCATCTAGCAAAAGCACTCTTTAATAAACAATACAGAATTCTGTGTAACAACATCCAACTGAAGCAAAATGAACAAAATGCCAAGTTTTTGTTTCTTAAACTCAGTATTTCTGCTTAGCACATGTATGACATAAAATCTTATATATAGCCTGAAGTATGTTGCTGAATGCTAGCTGTATATGAAATTATTGTGTTGATTTATGTGAGAAGTGTCCAGGAGTGGTTGCCATTAGCACCATTGGACAGGTGTACAGTGTATACCATGTAAACCAAAGAGATGTTTGACTGGTGGGAGGAGGAGAAAAGAGAAGTCTACAGGGACTTCTAAAGGTGTCTTCATATGGGTACTAGACATTGTATTTAAAGAAGCCTTAGAAATCACTTCTTAAGACAAAGAGATACATTTGGTAAATCTGCTTTTACCTTCCTTTTTGTCTCTTCAGCTCAAAACACTGGAATCTCAACTTTGTACAGGAATTCATACGGTGCACCTGCCGAAGACATCAAACATAACCAGGTAAGGAAGGATTCGGATTTTATATGGAAACAAAAATATCACAAGGACTTGATTTCAACCAAGCTAATAGCCTTTTATGCTAATGGATAGTTTTGGTTCAAGTTTCAAAATTGTGCAATAGGTTATTACCTTGAACAGTGTACCCACAAACATGATCTAAGGCATTTAGGCCTGTCACTGTTACTGAAAAGTGAGGGGCTCAGGACCTAAATGTATGACTGAAACTGGGAAAACTGGGCAGCAGAATGGTCACTTCCACTATATCTGCTAGTAAAAGGAACCTATTCCATGGAGCCTCACGCTAGTGAACTGGTGGAAACCATTCACATTTCATTCATTGTGGTTTATCCCTCATAAAAAATTCAGCGCTACCATTGGCACCACGTGGCTCGCAAAGGCGTTTCAGCAGAAACCCAAGAATTAAATAGGCCTGGAGAGAGAAACTCCTGCCTGGAAGGGCTGAGTATGCCATGTTTGTAGATAGTTTCAGCCCTCGTATTTGTCATTTGGTCATTTCAGACGCATGTTTGGAGTAAGGCTTGTTTTCATGTATGTTTCAGGGTATGGGTACTAGAAAATCCAGCATTTCATCAGTAAGGACGGTTCTACATGCATGTATATCCAAGCCATTCTGTCCAGAAGCTTGGGAGTCTTTTAAAATGTGTCCTTGAAGACCAGTAAGCAAAAAGTTCTAATGACTAAGAAGATAGGCATTCCAGAAATTTAATCAGTAAATTAAACATTCCCACACAGTATTAAAAAAATAAAATTAAAAAAAAAAAACAGACTGTTGTAATATTGACGTGTATGACATTCAGGTGACTTCAAAATAGTATCTCCTCAGCCCCTTAGTAAGTGGAATTTTTTTACGGTCAAGGGCTTTTTTTCGTCATTATGTGTAATGATACTTTATGCTTGATTATCACAACCCATTAATATTTCATACCTTCCCTATGAGTTTTACAAAAGCTGTAGTATTTTTTAAAATAGAAAAATGAAGCCAAAAATCTTCAAGGAAACACTTTAAATGATTACTAGTATCAGTCAGGTAAATCCATATTGGATATAACTGATAGAAATATGTTTTTTTTTTTTTCTGAAAATTTTGTCTCTGGTATTTCAGTTTCAATCCACCCACTGCAGGTGAAAGTTTCCAGTGTTTTGTGTCTCCACTTTCTGTTGCCAATTATGCTCTTTAATTAGCATTTCCTATGGTGTACCATATGTTTTCTTTGTGTGAGCCACTTCAGTGCATGACAGTGTTCCTGCTTTTGGTGCACTGAAAGAGATCAAGTCCTTCCAATTAACACAGTACTTAGAGAAAATAAGTACTCTACTGAAGTACTCCAACAGCTGGTGCACTCTAACTGTGGTCATGAATCAACTAATTGGATTTTGGGGGCAAAAAGCTAAAGTAGAAACCCCATAAAACAAAAGTATTATTCAATTTCTACCTATTTGCTTTCTCAGTGAAATGTGAGGTTTTTGATTAACATGCCAGAAATAACATTTTAATGAAAAAGAACCCCAAATACTAATTGAGACCCCTATGATTTTTTTTCAAAAAAAAAAAAAATCAGCCCTATCTTTTTGGCTTCTAGATAGATTGCATAGTATAGCTTTTTTCCCATTTGTCAAAAATTAAACAACGGTGTTTAAATATGTGGAGTGAAATGAGTGGTTGAAAGTCCTGTGAAAATGAAGAGTGGCGCTAGAAATAAAACCTAGTAGCGTTACACTCCCTGCTGCTGTCCTAATGTTGGAGTCCAGTAGAGCCATGCTTTGAAAGAATGTCAAATGGTTTAGGACATAGCCATGGGATTGCTCTATGCTTTTGCAGTCGAAAAGAAAAAAGGCCAATTTTAATGGAGGCATCATAGAGGAAGAAAAAGTACTTTTCTGCAAAGATACTTAGCAAATGTTTATGCATTTCATTTCTTAATTAAAAATCCCCATGATGTGAACAGATACCACTTGGGGTGTATGAAAGTAACTTTGCAGGGAACTTGGGTTAGGGGACTGTCTGAGATTTTCTTTTGCACACCGTTTCTATTAGGGCTTCCAGGCAGCTTGTTGAATACGTGGCAACATGGCAAGATTGCTATCAGAGAGGTCCTAAGAAGATGGTTCAGCTTAACAGTAGCTGAAGGACACATTTCATGGCATTTTGAAATGTTCTCCTAGCGGTGCCTGAAGCCCATGCTTGGTTCTTATTCTAAATCTCACTTGTGTCAAAATGTTCACATCTTTGGAGTGTGTATCACTTCCATTCTGATTCTTCAAGGCTGAACATTGGGCACGAGGGTTGGGAAGATGCATCTGCAAATTTATCAGAAAGTTAGATATGGATTATATTTATAAAAGTAATTGCAAGCCACACTATTCAGATCCAGATTTTTAACTACTTTTCACGTAAAGCAGCATTTGTTAGCAGCAATAATATTAAATAATAAATAAAAACGTAACAAAGTGATTTGGAATAACAAGGCAGAACTGTGGAATTAATTCACTGCCAAGCAATACTTGGGGCAGATGTTAGGATAATGCATGCCTTTGTATTCCCAGCATGATAAACATAAAAGCATGGGAATTATTTTTTCTCCCATGTTGTTGCCCACTATCTAACAAGTTGTGGGTATTTCAGGTCCCCATGTTGTTGCCCACTATGAGGTATATCTAACAAGTTGTGGGTATTTCAGGTTTCAACACAGCCAGTTCCACAGGAGCCCAGCAGAAAAGATTATGAACCCTATCAGCCGTTTCAGAATTCAACCAGAAGCTACGACGAGTCCTTCTTTGAGGACCAAGTCCATCACCGTCCACCTGCAAGCGAATACAACATGCACCTGGGACTAAAGTCAACTGGCAACTACGTCGACTTCTATTCAGCTGCTCGTCCCTATAGTGAACTTAACTATGAAACAAGCCACTATCCAGCCTCTCCCGACTCATGGGTGTGAGACTTGGGCAGACACAAAAGCTCCAGGAACTGTGCATGTGCATGCATACCACAAGACATTCTTTTTTCCTGCAAATTTAGTTTGTTAAAGCCTGTTCCGTAGGAAGGCCCAGATAACCAGTATGGAAAAATTAAGATTTTTTTAGAAGGCTAAAAGAAATGAAAGCTAAACAAGGGAGTAATTAGAAAGATATATATATATTATATATATTACAGTGTGGGGCAACTTTATTGTTGGCCTGTAGAGTCTAAAGTTCAGTGCCGTATCTTGAATGTGGCTGAAGGAAGGAGGGGGAACATGACAGGGAATGTGGGTCAAGAGTTAAGCACAAGTAACTGAGCAGCGTATGTACTTTATGGGGAACAGCTTCTCACACTTTGTTTAATATCCTCATTCATTGTGAATCTAGGCTTCAAGTTGCATTTGGGGTTTCCTCTGTACAGCAAGATGTTTCTTGCCTTTTGTTAATGCATTGTTGTAAAGTATTTGATGTACATTACAGATAAAAAAACAAAGAAGTGCATTGTGTATATTACACCAATGCCACAGTGTTTCTTCATCTATGGTTCTAAATATTGCTTCAATTTCAAATTTTGAAAGATGTATGAATTTCCAGTTTTTTTCTTTTCCCCGGTGCGTTTTAACAAAAAAAATCAAAAACAAAAAGGAATATTTAGCAGTATTGTTCGTTCTGATATGTGAATTTGTTTGTGGCAACTAAAAAAAAAAGGCATTCAGCAGTTTCTGACAATTAACATTCATCATTCCACACTCCTTGTCAACAAAGTGCTTTTTCACTGCCTAAAATTTTAGATGTAGATATTTGAAATAGATTTTTTTCATTTATACCAGTTTTCTTTATGATGATACAGTGTTAAAGGAAAATAAATTACAATTGATCTGTCATCCATATTTGCTAAGAATGTCTATTTCCAAGAATCTCTCATACAAATACACATTCTTACTTGTGTGTGTCCATGTATGCATAGTATCTCTGTGTGTGTATGTGTTTGAGTGTGTGCGTTTGTGTGGTATAAGGATTATTTTCATCCAGTGTTTTCCTTGTTCAAGCTTTAATTTCTGTTTGATTTTGCTGTTTTTTTTAAACAGTGGAAACTCCAGTATGTGCTTTCTCTTACTCACTTTATTAACCATCTGTAGCAATTCAAAATTTTTAGGCCACTTACTTAAAATTTGAGGGGGTTCCAGGATTTTTCGCTGACTCCTTCACCCTTGGGTGCCATTTCCCTGATCTTCTCTTGAGGAAAGAAGTTGATCCTGTTACTCTCCAGCCACCAACCAGCAAGTGCTCAAGAAAGACAGAGGTCGATCTTGCCATCTCCCTGGGGGAATGGAAAGCCAAGACCCAACAGACATAAGTCTGGAGCCCTCAGACTCTTGAAGCTGCAGAAGGGTCCAGCTCCTGAACCAGTAGGACAATCAGTTATTTTAAACCATACCAAAAAAACCCACCCTACCCAAAACACATTCCTCAAATATAAAACACTGACCATTTCCATGCATTTAAAATAAAAACCTTAAAAATAATAGCCCTAGAAAAATAAAAGCTGTAGGGGACAGAATATTTTTTTCTTTAAAAAAAATATCTAAGCTAGAAGGCCAGAAGAGCTGGGATATTTACCTTAGCTCTTGGGACTCTTCAGAGTAACATTTCAAGAGTTCAGCGTACTGTTTTCACAGACGAAGGCCCGTCACAAAGAGACTACTTGTAAACTGTTTCAATAATTCCAATTAAAGAAATTGTTTTAGGTTACAAACATTTCTGTGATTAGTCATTGTGCTCGTGTCACCATCACCCGGCGCCCTGCGGGGTGCGCGCAGCAGGAGGCTTCGCTCGCAAGTCCCGACCTGCTCTAGAGACAGCGAACCACACAGTTCAGGCAGGCACGGGCTCCGAGGTAGAATTGGTTGATCAGTCATTTAGGACTATAGTTTTATCTTTTTGGCAGCTTTTCCCAGTGTACGATATGTAACCTTATCTGCTCTTTGTAGTAAACAGGGAAAAAAAAAATCGCATGCAAAAAAAAAAATTAAAACTTTAAAAACGGGCGGGTGGGAGGGTCACAGTGGGCCAGATGTATAGTGAGGTAGATAAAAATATTATTCATAGTTTTGGACACAGGTTGTTTATATTTTATTTATTACATTGATTTTAATAAGACGAGTGACATTTGCAGTGCTGTTTTGAACAAAGCACATTTTCAGTATAAAAACTTTTTTTTTACTAAAGAATGTCACCATTAACTTGAAGTTCTTCTTGACTGCCTGATAACCATCGACTTTGTGCAGTTCTCCAAGAGCAGGATTGCAAATAGGCTTGAGGGATCTTTGACTCTACTTAAAGTTCTTAAGACAGAAGCTTATTGTAAGTTGGATTTATTTGAATTTTTTAAAATACTAAAATGCCCACGTTGACCCCTTTCCGCTCCTCTTAGAAATTAGTTCGAGTTAAATGTTGACCATTGCTCAAGTGAGAGATTCTGGATTGATAAGTGGCACAAATACCTTTTGTCTATGGTTTATGTTGTTTTGTTTCCATTCCTCTGTAGTGGCAAGTGCTCCAGCTAATAATGTTCACTCTTGCTGTACTGAGTTTTGAAAAGGTGTTGGGTTACCTGGCTTCTCTTCCAGGCTTGGAAATCCAACACTGACGCCATACCGAGCAAGATATATATGATGCATTCTTTTTAATATTGAGGAAAGTATCATTACCTATTGCTGTTCCCTTCATTCTTGTACTAGATCACACACAGAAATAGAGAAGAAAAAAAATGTTCCAAAAAATGTATAAAATGCAATTGATGTACTGTAAAATGTTGGATTTTTTTTTAACAAGCTTCATATTAGAATCTTGATCAGCTGTGTAGAGCTATATAAAACTCACTGTTTTATTAAATGCTGTTTATGGTCTGGAAGGAATGGTTAACCTATCTCAAGATAACAAATTTGCACTAACATGAGCAATACTGATTTGAAAGAAAAAATAATATGAATTCAATATTTAAAAGATAAACTATGATTTTAAAGGTATATTAACACTGGAAGTACATTTTGACAAATAACATATTTAAGCCCAAAATATAAATGGTTATGTCAGATAACACAAAAGAACTATAACAAAATAGACTGAGAAAAAAAAAATGTGTTTCACTGTACATGTTGCTAACATGTACAAAGACAAACTCATATTGACATATTTTCTATTAATAAATCCTACTGTATTGTGGAGACTTGCTGGTCATAGTGCAATATGTTGAAACGCAAGAGTTGACCCCCTAAGTTAGTTCTGAGCTTCACATGGCCAACAGCCCCCTGCAACGCGTTTATTTTGATGAATAACTCCGTAGCTGGCTGCTAGCCTGCCCTGCTCCCCTCACCCATGCTCTCCCCCGGGTTTATGAGCAAAGGGGAAAGGTGTTTTGGACAGCTGCTCACAACTCTCCCCTGTTTATGGCTGCTAATGCCATAGCAGAAATAATTCATCTATACGTGTGGAGAACAGAGAAGCCCCCAGGCTGGGGCCGTTGCATAGGAACGCGCTGTAAGAGACACAGAAAAGGCTCTAAGAAACACGGAAAAGGCTCTAAGAAACATGGGAAAGGCTCTCCCAGCTCCTGGGGCCCTGTTCCCGTAGTGGCAGGAAGCAGGAAGGGGCCCCTGTCTGCTGCACTGTGGCGCGGGGAGAGGAGACGGGTCCTCAAGGGGCTTCCTTGGGGCCCGTTCTGGCCTGGCTCAGGATAGGGGCTTCCTTGGGGCCCGTTCTGGCCTGGCTCAGGATAGGGGCTTCCTTGGGGCCCATTCTGGCCTGGCTCAGGTTAGGTGCCTCCTTGGGCCCCGTTCTGGCCTGGCTCAGGTTAGGGGCTTCCTTGGGGCCCATTCTGGCCTGGCTCAGGTTAGGCGCTTCCTTGGGGCCCGTTCTGGCCTGGCTCAGGTTAGGTGCCTCCTTGGGGCCCATTCTGGCCTGGCTCAGGTTAGGGGCTTCCTTGGGGCCCATTCTGGCCTGGCTCAGGTTAGGTGCCTCCTTGGGGCCCATTCTGGCCTGGTTCAGGTTAGGCGCTTCCTTGGGGCCCGTTCTGGCCTGGCTCAGGTTAGGTGCCTCCTTGGGGCTCATTCTGGCCTGGCTCAGGTTAGGCGCTTCCTTGGGGCCCGTTCTGGCCTGGCTCAGGTTAGGTGCCTCCTTGGGGCCCGTTCTGGCCTGGCTCAGGTAGGTGCTTCCTTGGGGCCCTTCCACTGTGGGCCTGCTGTTGCTTCCACAGGAGAAGGTGCCCGCCAGCCTCTTCCAAGATTTAGACCTCTTCCTAGTTTTAAACCTCCCAAAGGTCACTGGAAATCATCTTTAACCTCACTGAGCGACGGATCGAGCCCAAAGTGAATACTCAAGACTATGTCTGCCGTCTCCTCAAAGGACAACAGCATCAAGGCCATTCTCATAGGAAGGTGTAACGTTATAAGAGCTAAAAGCTGCAGAAGATGACAAAAAGCAAATTATCTCCACCTGTCACAGTTTACAACCTTCAGATCGCTGTAGTTTTATTTTCAGTGCTTGAAGAGAGCAGCAGCCATTCAGGTATAGGGCAACAACGTGTTTGATCTAACAGTTCGTGGAATGTCTTTTGACCTTAGTAAAAGAAAAAAAAATGTAAATACGTAATTGGAGAAACTTGCAATTGTTTGGGCTTCCTAAAATATGGTTTATGGGTATAGGTTAAGAGATGTGATTTAATGACCCGGCGATGCCAATGCAAATTATGTGAACTAATAGACTACTAAATCCCAGATCCATCATGGTAGCTGTGTATACAATATGTAGTTAATTAATGACCTCAAATCAGCAAATTTAAGGTCAAAAACGTGATAATTAATGGCAGAGAGCACTTTTTCCCTAAAGCAGCAAAACGATGGCTGTTATTCATCTTATCTCAGTTGTGCCACAGCTTAAGTATGAAGTTTATTTGTGGTATTCACCTTGCTTTTAAGAATAAAAACAGCCCTATGAACCACAACAACCTCAGTCAGAGGTTGTTGGACTATGGACTGACTATGGACTGACTCACTATGGACTGACCCGCTGCACTAAGGGGAGTGAAAACTGGTGAATTAAACGCATAATATTTTTATGCATTTGTTTTATGCACATATTTCCAATAGCACATCCAGAAGTCATGAATGCCCCCAGAAAGACAGGACAGGGATTGCAGCTCTGCCCATACCAACATGGGCACAAGGCCACCTGCTAAAGCACTGCTTGCAGCCCACATTAGGGCAAACATTTTTATGGCCAACAGCATTTTATGAAGTTTCAGCAAACAGGTATGTGTGAGTGAGTGGAGGAGGCAAAACAGTGGGTGTCCATCTTGCCACAGCAGAAATCCTGATCAACAGCAACTATGCAGGGGGGATGACTTCCCCTTCCCGGGGCCGGACAGGCACCGTGGGGGACAGCAGGGGCTCTCCAAGCTGGGCAGGCCCGGGGCAGGGGGGATGGTTGCGAGAAGGTGACGGCCTGGTGCTTCATCACACAGCAGTTTTGCTACGCTGAATGCTTGTTCTCGGCCCCCGCTTTCCAAAAGCAGAACAGGAGGACCTTTGCCTACAGCCTGATGAAATGGGCTAATTTGAACATGCACTTTAAAACAGAAATCAGTGTAGGCAAACAAGTTCATAGGCCGTCTTTCTTCTTGCACTAATCTTTATGCTCTTTATACTGTTTTTATGGTCTTCTGAAAGGATAATGAAAGACATACCTGTTATAATTTATTTGCATTATTAGCTTATTTAACATTGCTAGAGTTGAAGAGTAGGATACAGACTATACTGATTTTTCTGAAAACAGAATGTGTCTGCACTATTTCTATTAATTCATTGAAGATATTTATGCCCTACAGTAATAATAGCCAGTAATAGCTAGCCTTTTATTGCTTTCAAGAAGCATTGGATATGTGTGATCAGTTCAT